AATTTTCAAAATTCAAATTTAATATAAAGTTATTGAACGATGTAACACTTAGTAAAAGATACACCGGTGTCGTTTAAACCCTCCTCATATATATATATATATATATATATATATATAATATGTATATATATTATTGTCAAATATGATCACATTATTTAGTGTGGTAAAGTAAGATAATCATAACCGTTGTGATTTGGGGTCGATTTTTGTTGACAATGATTTTAACATACTGTACTAAAATAAAGTTTCATTTATAGCACTCACCATTCACCACTCTAGGTTTAAACATAAGTATTTTCGGTTCACATAGATAGTTTATCAGTCGACTTTGTGAAAACGAAATGAAAGACACGCTTAGGCGGGACATAACGGAGCAACGATGGGGGAGAGGTAAAACAAAGCAGAGCAACAATAGAGGGAATGAACAGAGCGACCCTCCTCCATAGAATCACTGAGACACAAAAAACCCACCTAATAGCTACCCAATAACAAGGTTGCCCTTTGTGACAACAAGAATGAGAGTTGACTTGACAAGACGAAGGCAAGTAGTGGAGGAGAAGTGGCAAAGTGGTGGAGAAAAAGAAGAAAAAGAAAATCTAGAAGAGATTAAGTTCAGGAAGATGAAACAAGAAGAGGCCAGAAAAAAGTACTTTCAATGTTAGGGAAAAGAAAGATTGAGGAGGTGCGGTTGGTTTCGGGTATCGACGATTTCATTTTTGCTGACCCAAAATCGACCATATTCATTACTTTTTTTTTTAAATAGATAAAACTTGTAATTGATCCTTGGACATTCGATTCTTCATTTTATACCTTCGGGTTTCATAGGTTCTGGCGGCTTAACAAATTTTGATCAACCCCACACCACTCTACTAGCCTTTAATCCAACATGGGAAGCGAGACAATAACAAGCCTTTAATCCCACACCATTTATACTCATGCAATAATTGTTTCATAATTAGAATGATTTTATTTTGATACACCGTTAATACATTCTAAATAAATTCAATTAGATTGGCTTCCTATAAAATCAATTGTGATCTTACAAAAAACGATTACCACAATATCGAGTGTGAATTGTCATATGATTAAAAATTATTAACTTCTTTGATAATAATTACTTTAAATTCATGTTTAAAATTATCTGTAGTTGATTGATACTAACATTACATCAAAATAAACACCACAAGAAAAGTATTATAAGCCTAACACAAGGGAAATTGCTGGGGCAAACAAACTGACCTTCCAACCAACAAAGAAGACCAGACTGATTATTCCTTCCCTTTTATCATCATTCCATGTTTAATCTAACACAGAAAAATGCAAGTTATTTACGTACCATGTAGCATGCATAAGTTTCCTAACATGCAATCAGTTCATGTATCATGATTCATGGGGAGTGACACCGGCATTCACTGTACAAATCATTCAACATCTAAACCCTTCTTCTTAAGTTCAGTTGTGACCTCATTCTTCATCCCCAACCGCAGCTTCTGAGCTTCCTCATCAAAATTCTTGCCCTGCAGCTCCTTCTGGTTATTGTTTCCATCCTTATCACTCTCACCCATCACTTTTGCACCAATACTGGTTCCAATCACCCTTCCCTTGGCAATGAAATCCTTCACTGCTTCTTCATGCTCCTTCGGTTTCCACCACCCCAGTGATGAATTGTCATTGTAGAGCCACAGTGCCCCAAGTACGGCATAGGTGCAAAGTAAGCCCGTCCCAACACGTTTCAAAAAGTAGTAGTCTTCGCTTTCCAGCCCAATATTTTTCAGGTATTTCTTGGAATGCATTGAACTCAGCAGATGAAAACCTGCATTCGTAGATGAGTATATAAAGAAAATGCAACGAAACGAAACGAAAATTCCCGAGTTTCTGTCTCATACATTTCATCAAACACATTGTGAGCAGAACATGGGTTCTGCTGAAATGATTTACTGTACTGCACAAAAGAAAGGTACCTGTTTTGGGGTCCCGAAAACGCTTAGGGAACATTGCAATTGATCAAGTTTGATAAGTGTGCCAGATTGTGCTGTGGGTGGGTCTTTGATTGGGAGTTTATGGTTGACAACTTGATTGGATGCTGCGGTTTTTCTTGGGTCTAAGAACATTGGGTGATTCACCATATTAGGGCACTTTTAAAAATTTTTATTAAAATGGGGTTGTTTTGTAACAAACTACGTCTTCGGGGTAGTTTACAACAGTATTGCTATGGATTATAGCGACACCTATGATACGTGATATTTTCGTAACTCCAGTGTCACTATAGGCCATAAATTTATATGAATTTCATAAAATAAATTAAAATGTAGAAAAAACTAATTTAGTTAATAATTTAAAAAAAAATGTCAAAAATAGTGGCGCTATGGTCTATAGCGACACAGTGTCGTTATAGATCATAGCGCCACTTATTTAAAAATTAAAAAGCATAAAAAACAAAAAAAAAATATATATAACATAAAGAAAAAATAGAAAAGAAAAATATATAATATATGAAATTTATAAAATAAATTAAAATGTGGAAAAAATAATTTAGTTAATAATTTAAAAAATAAAACGTGAAAAATGGTGGCGGTGGTTAAAAAAATTGACAACCCCAGCCACGTGTCAAATTATTGTGGATTTAGCCAATAGTAATTTGACACATGGCGTAAAACAGTAAAAAAAAATATTTTAACCCCTATATAAGGGTATTTTCACCTGCTGGTCCCCATTCAGGCGAGCCTCCTTCACCTCCCAGCATCCAAATCAGGTAAACATTTTTTTTTTGTGTTTAATTTAATTTTAAATTATTTAGTTATTTTTAAATTTTTAGTTACTTTTATATATTATAATTATTATGTCAGGTTATTTGTATTTTATTGATATACGCAGAGCCGCAGAAGTATTTTTTGTTAGAGAGGTATTTTCTATTTTTTTAAGTTTCTGTAATTTAATTAATTATATTTATTTTTTTAGTTTGTGTAATTTAATTAATTTTATTATGTAATTATTCTAGGCTATATTATTTTAAATAAATTATATAAAAACTGACTTTATTTATATTTTATATATTATAATTTGTTTCTGTGTAATTATTTTATTTTAAGTATATTTTTTTCTGATTGTAAAGTCGCTATAGCTTATACCATTTTAAAAAATTTAATTTAAAAAAAAAATATTTAAAATTTTAATTTATTGAATTTAATTCTGTATAATTTAATTTTATTTATATAATGTTTTTATTTTTCTGTAATGATTTTAAACTCGTTATAAATTAATTTAACAAATAATTGTATGTAAAAAATTAAAATAAATAAGAAATTTATTTAAAATTAAAATTGATTTAATTTGATTCTGTGTAACAAATAATTTTTTATTTTATTTTAAATTGATTTATTTTAATTCTGTGTAATTTAATTTTATTTAAAAAAATTTTTAAGGTTATTAGTGTTATATTACAATTTTTTATATTAGTTTATTTATATTTTATATAATGTATGAAATAATATGTTGTTATATTTTGTTATAGATGACATTATCTTCTACAGCTATGCGTGTCACATGTGGACTCATTGAGGATGATTTATTGACATTGCAAAATATACATGTTTCACAACATGTTTGGAATAGAGGGAGTTCCACATCATATTTACAAACTTGGTGGGAACAAGCTTCTTCTTGATTTTTTTGCAAAGCTTCAACCAACTTTGAAACGAAAACTTTCCCAGATGAAACATCGGCTAAAGCACGATTACTAAAATACTCAGCGCACCTGGTATAAGTCGACCGAACTAATGCAATGATAGAGAGATTTCTACAATCCTTTAAAACCTTGTTAACACATTCAGACAAATTTGTTGTCATATGACCATATCTTCGACCATCTGCATCATATGCCATGCTCCATTTGTCTTTTGAAATCGCTCATATCCACCTTTCAACATCAGGGCTAGATTCACAAAACTTTTGCAAATTGCGATAAAAAATGTGTTTACACAGTGTATACCCTGCATACAAATTATAAATAATGCATAATAAAATTTTAGAAATGATTAAAAAATTTAAAATAACAATACGTATCTAACTTCACAAGCTTTTGTTTTAGTTTCACATCCTTGAATCGAGTATTAAAATTACTTGCAATGTGCCTAATGCAGTACTTGTGATATGCATTTGGCGGTCTCCAACCAATTGTCTCATTGTCAATGGCCGATTTAATGCTACGATGTCGATCAGATATTAAACATATCCCTTCTTTATTTGTAACATGTAACCGCAAATGAGACAAGAACCACGACCACGCAAGTAATGTTTCTCCTTCAACCACAGCAAATGCAAGAGGAAGAACCTTGTTATTACCATCTTGTGTTGTAGCAATCAGCAATGTACCTCGGTACTTGCCATATAGATGAGTGCCATCAACTTGTATCAACGGTTTACAAAAATTAAAGGCATCACAACACGGCTTGAATGTCCAGAATAATCTGTGAAATTGACGGTAACCACGATCACAACGATTACCAACAAAAAACTCATCATGACACAGATCATAAAATGACCCTGGAGCAATTTCTTTCATGTATTGCAGCCATCGAGGTAAATAAGCATACGATTCTTCCCAATCTCCAAAAACGTTAACAATTGCTTTTTGTTTCGCCATCCAAGCCTTTCTATAAGATATTTTAAACCCAGTTTGAGATGTTATTCTCTCTTGGATAAGGCTAATCTTGATTGATGGATCTTGGTTAACCATTCCTACATATTAAATATTAGTAATCAGTAAGATAAATTATTATTAATATAAACTATAAATTTTGCAGAACTTACCTTGTATAAATGATGCAATTAACTCAGAATCTAACTTAGCATGGTCTTGTGACAAAGACATGTTCAAACACATATGACGTCCACCCCACTAAGTCACTTTCCACTTATCAGATTTCTTTGACTCAATTGCTCTCATGTACCATCCACATCCATCATGTGCATTTGGACATCTAACAACCCACTTGGTCTTTTTCGACTCAACCACATAAAAACTTTGATGCATTCTCATTGCATTTAGCTTTACTGCATTTTTAACCGCATCTTTATTCTCAAACTCCAACCCCACATATAAATCTTGGCCAATTGACCAAGTATTACGCAGATCCATCCCTGGGATATCTTCTTCATCTGGATGATTCCAATTGATGTTAGTGTAGTGGGGTAAATTACCCCAAAATTGACTTCCACCTATTTTAATAATAATGACTTTAATACTTTCTATAAAATCAAATTCAACAATTTATTTTAAACAAATAACAAATTATTCACAAATTTAATTTTTAGATGTTACCTTCAGTAGATGGATACATTGAAATTGGTTCAACCATTGGACTATTAACAATAGCATCCGGCTCCACCTCATTATCAGATGGTTCACAATCATCAATTTCATCTTCATTGGATTCATCAATGCTTTCATATGATAATGAAACATGAAAGTCTTCATCTGCTTCGTCATCTTCATCTTCGTCTCCGTCTCTTGTGATCAAAGGTGATCTTCTAATGAAAAAGTTGAAGATTCTTGCATACCTATTTCGGCATATAATTCCATTATTGGCATCGCATTCTGGCTCTGAAATGCTTCTATCATGCATTGTACATCATCATCGTCACTCAATTCCAATGAAGAATATATGTTGTTATCACCTTGTGAAACTAAAAATCTGTAACTTACAAATAATATCACTTGATTTGAGTTAAGACCAAATTTTTTGTGAATCCTTCTCTTTAATATATCCAAAGTGTTACCTCGTTTAATATACATTCATTTTCTTGGTCCATCAAATGTTACGCTTTCAGGACCTTCATACATCTTTCCAGTGTAAATATAAGCAATCATTTGATCCATAATATCTGCAAAAAAAAATAAAATTAATTAGTACAAATAGCTACAATTTATATTTTAACAACACAAAATTTATACTCACAAATTTCAATCAGAAAGAAACGTAACTTGTAGAAGGAGTATATATATACTTTTGATGATTTCAAATGTGAACAAAACGTAACTGCAGGGAGGGGTATATATACTGTAATAGGCGCTATGGGCCATAGCGACACAGTGTCGCTATGGGCCATAGCGACATTATTTATTTTTATTTTTATAATATAAATTTTATTATTATTCCTGTATGTTTTTTTTTCTATTTATTAAAAAAAAACTTCAAAACATGAAAATTTATTAAATATGAAACGCTGAAAAAAAAACTAATCAAATATATATTATAATTAATTTATATAATATAACAAAATAATTTTTCAAAAAAAAAATTAAATAATTAAAGTCACCCTAATGCCACTTTCTTAACTATTTAATACATAAAAATAAAATAAATTAATTCAACCATAAATATATAAAATAAAATTTATATTAAATAAATATATAAATAAACATATTTCTGAAAATTAAACTAATATGTAAATATTTAAAAAACAAAAATAAAAAAGTGGTGACGCTGCCCATAGCGACACCACTTTTTAATTTTTTTAAATTTTATTTAATTACGTTTTTTACGCCCTGTTTTTTTAAATTAAATTATAAAATTATTATTAATACACTTAAACAATAAATAATTTTCCCCAATTTTTTCAAAAATTAACATATTTATAAATTAATTTTATTTAATTTATTTACTTTGTGTACTTTTAATTAAAATATAAAAACGAAAAATTAAAAATAAAACGTGATTATTTAAAATTAATTTTTTTAAATGAAATGCTAATATTTAAAAAATAAATAATGAATGGTGTCGCTGCCCATAACGACACCTATTTAATATTTAAAAAAAATGAATGGTGTCGCTGCCCATATCAACACCTATTTAATATTTAAAAAATAAATAATTTTCCCCTGTTTGTTAAAAAATTAACATATTTATAAAATAATTTTATTTAAATTATTTACTTTCAGTACTTTTTAATTAAAATATAAAAACGAAAAATTAAAAATAAAACGTGATTATTTAAAATTAAGTTTTTATTTTATTTACTTATTTTTTCCACAATTTTTTTAAAATTTAAAATATTATAATATAATTTTATTTAAATTAGTTAGTTTCTGTACTTTTAATTATAAATATAAAAACGCAAAATTAAAAATAAAA